CTACGTATAACGTAGTACTAATACTTACTACTTATTACTTACTACGTACGTATACTATTACTTACTTACTATATATATATATATATATATATATATATATATATCAGCATATATATATCTATATCAGGAGTAGATAATAGGGAATTATCTACTATCTACCCCTATTATCTACTCCTGATATATATATATATATATATTTATATATATATATAAATAAATATATATATATATGTGTGTGTGTGTGTGTGTGTGTGTGTGTGCGTGCGTGCGTGTGTGCGTGCGTGCGTGCGTGCGTGTGTGTGTGCGTGCGTGCGTGCGTGCATACGTGCGTGCGTGTGTGTGCGTGTGGTTGTTCGAGTGCGCAGCATATTAACTTTTCGTGTGATTCGCACGATAACGGAATCCGATTAGGGAGAAATCAGCTACTAGGTAGAAAATGGGAATCATTTGTCGTTTAACGGTGACGATCATGCGCATAATCATTGACACAAATCTGTTTATAGGCGTATTTCGAATTTAACCGTTGAGGTGGCAATTGCTTGGACGCTTAGCGCACGATCGAGGCAGCTCGTGCACGCACAGCCAAGCAAGAACAGACATACGCGGAAGAGATGTGGTGATATCGTAGCGGATTCAATGCGGAGTAATGGGTACAGTGCCGCAAGAGCAACCACAAAGAGCTGCATCGGACAGGTTTAGTATATGGTCGTCGGCGAGCAGCGCTGAGGGCAGCATGAGCTACGCACCCGTGAGCGCCGCCAGTACGACCGCGCGATCATTACCCTACTCACCGCTGTCGGCGGGAGCGATGAAGATAAAGGTGAGCATCAATCACTCACACGCACGCAAACACGCACATAGACGCTCACGCACACGCCTACGCGCACACAAGTACGCACGCACAGGCGCCCGAGCAGGCGCACACAAGTAGGCCTACGCACGCACAGGCGCGCGAGCACGCGCGCAGGCCTCGCTGAATACGCAAGGAATATCCACCTAGTCTGTAACACATATTATGAGCCTCTAGATACTATTAAACACGCATGCGAACGCGTTTTGTATGCAAGACCTCAAACCTGAAGCTCGCCTGAAGTCAAAAACTCAAAACGAATCAGCAGCAACCAATCATATCAATTAGAAAGCGCATGCGATATATGAGACCTGCGGACTGAAAGCTAGATGTGATATTTCCGTTGCCTGCATGCTTACTGGACATTTGCGTTATTTATAGCATTGACAATATTCGATCTTATTGATTATTGCCTCCTGGTTGCTGCCGATAGATCATATGAACGAGTTGGTATTTAACCTTTGAAGCTCTTAATGACAGGCAAAATCTTTATCAAGTTTGAAGACGTGTTACCATAACCTAATAAGGCTGCCGGCGTCCTCACTGTGTTGACAATGACGTTGCCTCGGTCGCCTAACGTTAAATAGTTCGGAGTTATTAGAGTGGACGGTGCTTGCCTGTGATGGAAGGAAATACGCGCGTGTATGAGAGCATGCAATCAATAGGCATCAATTCGAGTCGATGGTTTGACAAATGACGTCTCTCTCTCTCTCTTTCTTAATGACAGCTGTAGCAGGGTTGACGCTGAATGATACTGGCTTCGTGAATATCGTGGTTGTATCATATCTCTAACGTCATAATGACGTCAGCCGCTGCTTGCTACACATGTACGCGGGCAAGCAAAACGCTCTGACAGTTCACATGTACCGTTATATGGAGAAATAAGCATGTACACAGGTGGCACATAGTGTTAGCCATCGAATACAGTTGAAAATGAAAAATCGGTAAAAAAAATTTCTAAAACCTTGAGAGTATCCTTAAGTTACAGTTAAAGTTTAAACATGTTATTTAACTTATTTATTAAATTTTTCCGGCAGGTTTATTTTCATTCTTGCCCAAAATAAGGGGTGTCCCGCGGACTGTCCCTCCTCCACCGGTTTCGTCTTTCATATTTTTTTTATAGCAATATAACACTTCTTGTAAGTGTGTGCTCTATATGTTAAATGTAAAACCACAGCAACATATAGGCCTAATATATATTTTTGTATATGCTGGACATGTATGTATATACCTATATCGTCTCATACAAGGGCCCACACCTATATATATGAATATTCTGGAAGCTAGTTTGTGCGCAGGAATGATCGGGGAGGTGAATTATATTTCAAAGTACAAAAGTTCATAATATTTCGTTTATATAGCAACTGACCCATTTGGGAGTATGTGTTCTCGACTTTAAATGTATAAATTTAACCAAATAACATTTTTTACATAGGCTACTGCATGGTCATGCGCAAATTAACATACGTACTTTTCCTTCTGTGCTACAGTAGGGGTTATAAGAATTTCGAGGAGACAGCTAGGTGGGGCAACTAAGCATAAAAGAAAGTGGGAGGTTGTGATACTGTGATAGCTACTTTTTAAATAGATATCTATTTATAAAAGGTATCTATGTGTAATGTACATATACGTACTACGTACATATGTTAATTTACGTGAAATTATTTGTGAGTATATGCATGCATGCATGTGCTCTAGCTAATTACATTTAATTGCATGTATATTTTCAGCCAAATTACCATTTTTCATGCGACTGCATGTCATGATATATACTCAACACAATCTTACTATTAGGCTCTATACGTACCATTCTGTGTCCCGGATTACTGATTTATATAGCGCTCATTGAGGTCATCCGTTCGGCTAGGTGCCCTTTAATAATAGTTCCGTACCTAGTTAGGTGTAACATAGTTAGGTGTAGCCGGAATTCTCCATCCATCTGGAACAGTAGCTGCAGCGGCAAGGAAATGCCCACATCTGCCACGCACAGTTAAGTGGTTGGTTCACCCTGGTTACAAGATATATATATATATTTACCGTCCGGCGATCGTCAAGTGTTTCCAAGTTTAAAACTGTACGTTACCGTGGAGATAGTGTGTAGTAACCGTGTATAGTGTGTACGTGTTATTTAAATTCTTAATCTGCAACAAGCACATTTTTGACGACAATAATGGTAATTATTTTGACTATATTTACGTCGCGAGAGTATATTCTGTAAATAGACATTTACAGTACATCGTTTCGTCTTATTTAAGTTTAGATATAGATTCTGCAAACCCAGAGAACGTTAAATAACCCGATTACTTTGCATTTCAGTGATTATAATTATTTTCATCTATCGTCAACGCAGGCAACACGATTCGTACTCGTAACACCTTGTATTTATTCGAAAAGAAAATTCTCATGAATTTACGCATAATTATACACAATGTATGAACCACCTATGTCTCTTTTTTACCAGATTCAGTTGTCACTGTTAAATGATACAATATTTCCCATTTTTCTACCTGACAGCATATATTTCTCATATATATATATATATA